TTATTCACACGTAGTACTCAATAAAAGTCTGAATAATTCATAAATCATATTATTCTTCTTCTTCTTCCTTTTTACAGTGTAGGTGTGAATTTTCGCCATTCAAGCCGATTTTTCGTATCATATCTCGAAACGTTTTGCCCTCCTAACTCTGTTATGAATTTATCTAATGCTTTTATTTATAAATAATGATGGTATAAAGTGTCATATAAAAACAAATTCAATTATTATTTTATATAAATTTATTTTATGTATTTATATTTTATATTAAATCGATTATCTAGAAATTGATATGGTAAAAAAAGTGTGTCAAAGACAAACAAATAAATTTTTTAAGTACCAACATTCTATACTTATAATATTGAAAGTCTGAGAAGTTGTATTGAAGAAGGAAAATTTACTGACATTTGAAAGTATTATAAATAATGCATGGAATCAGTAAGAATAACACTGAAATTTATAGATCTTACAAGTGTTCATCATTAGAAAATAGTAAACGTTCTGTGGAATATCAACTCAAAATTACAATTCAATATACAAATCATTTTTTTTTAAATAAATTTAAGTTACAAATACTTTCAAAATAGTCAGAAAGTAAATATAGATCAACGAATCTCGGATCTGTATGGCGCACACATAATATATTCCCTTCTGAAACAATGTGATGGACAGAAATGTCCTTTAAGCTAGATCGGAAAACTTTATTTGCATAAAAATAAACTAATATACCATCACCACATATCAGTTAATAAATCTAATACTATCCCATTTCATAGAAAAGGGAAGGAAATATAAATTATTGATATAGTAGTAACGCTTAATGGAAATCTGTGATCAACTTTATCTAGAAAAATTTTAAAATATGCTTTATTAATAGAACTACAGACAATGTACAATTATTTATTGGTAAGCGTTGCTTCGATTATTATTTAAGCTACTCTGATAGTACCCACACATTTACCTACTACTTTGGAATAATTTAAACTCGAACATCTGGTTGAACAGACAAAATTTAGACTCATTACACACCAGTATAATTGTCCGTAAACTTATGGATATATGAACAAAATATAAAAACTAAATCAACCTCTAACGGCTTAGACTACGCTCTATAAAGACATATTCCCCTGGTATTTAATACCCGAAATGTGTTATATTCGTTTAACAGCGAGAAATAGAATTAACAAAAATTATATTAGAATCAATTTAAATAAATTTTTTTTTTATTGATGAAGAAATAAATTGTAATGTAATTAATGGACTAAAACTATATTGTACATTCAGTCTACGCACTATCTTCAATTATTCAATTAAAGTCAAAGAAAATTATTGACAAGTCAAAATTTATTTTATTGCTATATCGAAAGTATAACATTATCTCAACGTTTAAACCTATCCTCCAAACATTTTTTGTAGTCAGATTGAGGATTAGTCTTTAAGTCTATCTGCGAAATGATTGAAATAACATTTATAACATAATAGATAACAACAGAATAGACTCGTCCACTTCGATTAGTGCTCATGATCGATGTTAATCAGAATTATTTGATAAATAAATTTTAGATATATAAAAAAATTGCTTAAATAGTGGTATTAATCTGCTGTGGTTTATCACTTTTTATTGTAAAACTTTATAAAAGATACGCTTCTAAAAGGAATTAAGTGTATTTATTAATACAATAATATAAAATTGAGATTTTATTACATAAGAATGACTTAGCTTTACTGTCCAACGATTTAACTGAACTAAAAAAGCTTTTGCAAAACACGGTTTTTTGTAAACTTTTTATTTAAACGATTAGTTCCGGATACTTTGTGTTCTGAATGTAGACTTACATGACGTGAGAGATACATACGATCCATTTTTCGGATATCGAGGTTTCTCTGTTTAAATTTTTTTTACTAGAATTTTATTTAATATTTTATACCTTAGTTAATATATAAAAGTTTGACTTTGTTCCTACCAACAGATTTATTTCTTAAATACCCTCTCCCATATCTAGTCGCATCTAGTCTTCGAAACATGTATTCGAAATGTCATTAAAGACATTTTCACAAAAATGAATAATACATTTGAATGGATTGGTTTTCAGGTAAGTCGCCATATATGTAAAACGTGTCAGATGATGAAAGTGATCAATTTTCAAGGGGTTTTTTTATACTTGTTATTCAAATGAAATTATAATTCTAAAATTTGTTTCTAATTGTTAAGAACGATATACTAATGTCCCTTAAAAAACTCTGTTACTGGAAAAACATTTAACATGAATTAAAAAATTATAATAAAATCATTCAAATTCTAAAATAATTAATACTTAATTTGAATAAGTATGTTTCGCTACAATTAAGTCTGACTTTAATTATAACTATCTAGTTTATATGTAATTACATATATATATATATATATATGGTATATATTCTAAGTGCTTAATTGAAAACATGTTTCTGTTTAAAATATTTAATTAGTTTTCTCGTAACAATTAAAATATTGACGTTTGAATAGTATAAATCTCGCTGCTAATCACTTTTCAAGTTATAATCTGCGATTTCCGAGAATACAATTATTTTTATTTAATTATTGTTATTTAAAACTAGAATATAAATTGTGCATAAAATTAAATTTGCTTGTTTGCTTGTTAATTTAAACTAAAACTAATTTAAAACAAATACATAAACTATTTAAATTTAGATTATGTAGTAGAAAGTAATATAAAAAAGTGTGATAGTGTAGGAGCTTTTAAATACAAAAATTAATTTATAATTATATGAACTTTTGGAGCAACTATACAGCAGTTTCGATTACTGCTAAGTAACTGTCATCAGTGATCTTTATTTTGTCAAAACCATAAAAAATAATACTAAATAATACAAATCTCTGTTTTCAAGCATAAGAAGACGCTACACATTTTAGAGTAGTACCCAAAATTAACAAAGACCCATCATAAGCAATACTAGAACTCATAACCATTCGCAACTCATGAAATCTATATAAGTATTAAAGATAAAAAACAAACTTACACCATGATTAGAGTCCTCATATATTAACCTGAGACTTGGATTTCAAAGAAAAATGATACTAATATCCCAATGCGCTTTGAACGGATAATAAACCTGACAAAATATGACCTATGCCTATAGAGATATAATGATGAATTAAATAAATTAATTAAAAACACAGTATTTAAAGAATTAATAAAGCAAAAATAGTACATAGTACAAAAAACAAAAACCGAAAAGATAGTAAATAAAATATTAAATCTCTAGGAATAATTAACTACTGAATAAACTCAGAAAAAAATAGGAATTTGTAGAAATTGTCTGGCAAGTAATGGTTCATCACGAACTGTAATACTATAAAGATAATAATATTTACAAACAATATTGCTTTCTTTTTTGAGACGACAATTAAGTTTTCGGTATTCAAAAAAGTTTTATATTCTTTTTATCTTATATAAGTATATAATCAGATCTTATATAAATCCAATCCAAATCGAAGTAAGTAACTAAAAGAAAAATCATGTACTGTTTATGGCATAATACAGATCGATTGTGTTTGCAAATTCTGAAATCGAAATTAATTTACTATTTATCATTAATACGTTTTGCCTTAATTAGATAAGCACTAATATATACTTATTACATAAAAAAATGATTGTGACTTATTACATGATTATGAGATTGTAGAAAAAAAAGTAACCAAGGTGAGAAACGATATTATAAACCTTCATTAGACATTTTAACAAATATTCCAGCAAGAGACTTTAGCAAGAGACTTGTTGTTCTTTACCCCACTGCTACACAGCCTTAGCAGTTAAGAACTTATTGTTTTGACATAAACTTTCAATTTTGAATTTTTAACAGTATGAGTAATAATGATATCTTAATTTATTATGTTACAATTTAATAAATGTTATTAAAAATTTTAACTCAGTTTTGTACTAAAAACAATTACAAACAGAAATGGCAACAAAATAATTCAATAAATAATTTTTTTTAATGTAATTTATATGTTAATTATATAATTTTAAATTAATTTAAGTAATATTATTTTCAATATAAACTTAATTCAAAATACACTACTACTACTGGTTTCCTAAACTTCTTCTGAAGCAAAGAGCCTTCAAAATATATTGACACATAAAAAATTTATTAATTTAAAAAGTTTAATTTTTATTTGTTTATAAATTGTACTTTGGTATATTATTGTTGGTAATAAATAGAAAATTTTTTTGTATGTATTTAATATAAAACAAGATGTACTTTGTTATATTATTGTTGGTAATAAATAAAATTTTTTATCAGTATTTTATTTAAAATAATATATAGGAGTTTATTAATAATGCCTCTACAAACAGAATAATATTGAAATTTAACAATTAAAAATAAAACTATAATTAATTAATTCAATTATTCTATACCTGGTTCTAATAGAAGCACTGCAAGTGTATTTGTTAATATACTTTCACAACAAATTAACAAAAGAACTCAAAGTTCGAACACACAAGTCAAGTACGGCTTTGGGTCATTTGGCCAATTAACACCAACTCTGAGCTTCAAATTTGACAGGGCACAAGTTTATCCCTTGGCACTTGCAGTCTTAAAAAAATTATTTTCGAATATTTAAATATAAGAATTATTTCGAAAACCACTAGTGATGGGTATTTAGCAATTCTTGAAGTAGCTTTATGGTCAGTCGAAAATTCAATTAATTAAAATAATATGAATTGAATTTTTGTTGTTGTAGTTCACTACTGTTCGAAAAACCTCTTTAGAGATTATAAATTTTATATTAAAAATTTGAATTAGTAGTTCATTATTTTAATAATAATTTAAATTTAATAATAAATATAGTTATATATTTATAAATATATAATTTGAATATAGTTAAGTAGAGTTAACACAATCATATAGTCATAGTATGAAGAAATAGAAATATTTTGTAATATTATTATTTTAGTTCTAGTTAAAAATAATATAATGTAATAATTTGTTATTATATTTACCGTAAACTGTGTAATATAATCCCTTACACTCGTATAATAAATATCTTATAATATTGTATTTTTCTAGATAATATAAAATTTGCACTTTAATCAAATTTCATTGAATTTTTTTATCAGTCATTCACATAACTTTAACGATATTTTATATATAAAAATGCGGATAATAATTATTTTTTTATTTTATTTCAATTTATATTTTGTACAACTAACCGATTTTAAATTTAAAATATATCTTTTCGGTTGCTTTTTAATTTCTTGCTTAGGTTCATTAAACTTTATTTTGGGTAAAAAATTTTTTTTAAGACTTCACACACAAAAATTCATTAAAAATTTTTATTCAAAACATTTATGCATCCACTGCACATTCCTACACCCTTATCGTTTCACTTAAACACTAAACAACTTAACGCCGAGCACAACCGTAAGCAACTAAATTCGGTGAATGAAAATGAATTCTATTTAACCGTGGCATTAAAAAACACAAACAACGTTTGTTTAGGAACAATATTGACACTGATTTACAATGAACACAACAATCAGTGACGATCGTGGAATAGTTATTTTAAGAGAGTTTCAACCGCAAGAGAAAGAGCACTTACACGTGCATATTTTGTAATATTTTCATAATAAAAAAATGACCTACTTTTGAACTAAAGACGAAGAGCAACTAAAAATAATTCATCTTTTCTTCAACGCAATATTTATTTTCTAATCAAGTGCAGTAAACTGTAATTTATTTATTTATTTATTTTTAATTTTATTTCACTTTATTTTTCTTTTTGCTTTACGATTTACTCTCAGTGCTTGGCAATGTTGTGATTGGTTGCTTCTTTAAAAAATTGGGGGTCAATAACACACTCAACAGAAATAATTAGTAAATAAATGTCTAATGTATAGTGGAATTAACAAGGTTAAAATTAAAATTAAATTAAATAAAACATAGTGTGTAGTAATTAATTTATGTGACAAATATAAAAATGTAAAATATAATAACCAAAATTATTATTATATAAATTATTATTAATATAATAACACATACAAGTATCTCAGCATCTTTGGAGAGTTTATCAAGTAGGTAAAAACTGTATAATGAAAAATTGCGCTTCTTTGAATAAATGAAACGCACCCGACATCTAGAGAGGCAGTATTTCAGAAAGTAGCTCTCTCTCTCTCACTCTGTCACTCTCTTTGTATTTTCCCTACACATTTCCATACAATTTATTTCTAATTCATTTCTTTTGTTGTTAATTTTAAGTTTTTATGTAAGATTTGTTTGTTAAGATTTAAGATACAAAGTTGCTGCTCAAAGGTCTTCATTTCGAAAACAACTTTTCAAAACATGTGCCAAGACAGTCGTCAGCAATACACATTTCTAGAGTCACGGGATTATACTCAGGTAAACAGTTTCCGTAATAAATTCGTTTAACAATTATTGTCTATTTTTTATTCATTATCTACATTATCTGTTATTTACAACAGTTTAGTAAGTACTAAATAATATAAAAAAAAATTATTAAAATTTCAAACGTCACAATTGCTTTTCCTGCCTAGATTTGTAAATATTATTCAACTTAAAAATGTATTTCATAACTTTATTAACGTAAATAACATATTATTAATAACATTATTAATCAATAATAATATTTATACAACAAAATATATGGATTGATGTTTACAAAAACAAACTATATATTAAAATTTATTTTGAATTTATTTTTAATTAATATACTTTAATAAAAGAGTTCTAAGCCTGACACTTGCAGTCCAAATAAATTATGTATGAACTATAAACTAATTAAGAAATTCAAATATTTTCTAAAACCACTGATGATGAGTACTTGACACTACTCAAACCAGCGTTGTATGGTCAGCCAAATTTTAACAAATTAAACAAAATTTTTGTGCTTGTCTTTTTCTTTACTATTCGAATTCGTCTATCTTTTAAATAATTTCTTACCACATCACACTCGGCAAGAAAAAATTAACATTAAATAAACTTTTTATTTAGAAGTAGTTAACTTTTCAATTTTTTAATATCTCAAAAACTATTATCTACTATAGGTAGAATTATTATCTACTATAGGTATGAAATTAGGAATACAAAATACTTGCATTATATCACGGAAGTTGCGAAAGTTTCATGATACTCTACTCACACTAACATTCAACACCAAATACAATTTTCATAAAAATTTTTTTTTTAATTTTAAAAATATTTTTCACTTCTATTAGATTACGTATAATCATTGTATACAAATATATAATTTCAAGCAAAAAGTGGGAATGGAATTTTTTTTCGCAATAATCAGGCCAAATTCAGATCCACATAAATTTTTACAACTGATCGAAAGATGGTAATTTTTTAACGTTTTTTAAACCAAAAGAGTAGTTATTAATTATGTATAAAAATATTTTTAAATTTGAATAAACAGTAACATTTAATAAGTGTAAATGTTTAAATAATTAGTCATTTCTATATGGACTTTTTCAATTCTATTTGTATTACTTAAAAAAGTATTCGAGTTTTTTAATAAAAATTTGTTAAATATTAAAGGTTTACAAGAAATAGAAAATCGTTTGTCATACTCTCTTTCTTACACCTGTATATTGCGAAATTGAATTAAGATCAATGTATACCCTAAAGGCTTAAGGAATATTGCCAGGCACACGCTCAAAATCTCTCTGGTTGTATGACTAGAAAGAGCGTGCAACTGACGTAACCTGACGAATAACTGTCTACGAGTAGACAGTATAACGAATGTCATCTATTCGTCAAGATGTTTTATGTACAACTCTTACGATGTGATCAAAATTATATATTAAATAAAATCGCATTTGTTGTATTTTTACAACGGAATTTCTATTTCTTTTTGCATTTCGGTTAGATAATTATAAAAAATTCATTAGAGGGACCCAGCTTTTTTTCCCAGTACCTGATGCTAAACTTTTTGCTCCATCGAATTATCTAAAGTCAGTTAATATAAAAATTTCCAATTAAATTAATTCCACAATAAACAATAAATGAATAATTAATCCGATAATAACAGATGACTCCCAATATAAGTTCTATATATCAATAATATTTTTGAATTAATGTGAAATTTTAAATACAGTATGGTTGAAAATCTGATAGAGTTGAAAATCCAAATGTTTTTAAGTTACATTGCGATAATATTGAAGGGACAACCGATTAACTTAATCAGTCAAGTAAACTTAATTAATAGCAGTTGGAATTTAAAGACTTACATGATAATCAATATTTGCAATAAGTGAGAAACAGAAAATATAAATCTATTATTTTATTTATGTATACTAAACTAAGACTAGAATTGTTAAATACAAACGCTTAATACATTATTATAATAATTTTTTAATACCTAATTTCAAATGTTCCAGATAGCAATACATACAGCAGGAAGATAGTGTGAGATGTTCTTAAGATTTCAAAAGAACATAACGATATCTAATCAGATCACGAGTTTTAATTAAGCCACGAGTATTTATATAATCATATAAATACTCGTGGCTTAAAAAATAAGAATTAATCGGATGTTGATTAGTATTCGGAAGTAGGTAAAAAACGTTTGTGAAACTACACACCTAATCATTACCAAACAAAATATGTTTATTTAAATATCAGATATTGAAAATGAGTAAATGTTGTAGGAAAAAATATAATAAGAATATTATATTTTAATTAATAATTATTTTTTAAAACATCTGCACATTTCTATTCCTTATCGCTGCAACTCTGTAATATTTTAATTAAATTTTATCTTCTTAATTTCCTCATTTGATTTATTTATTTGAAAATTACAAAATAATATAAATGTGGATGATATGAAACAATAATTCGATATAAAAAGTGTTATTAAGTCAAATTTCATTATATTTTAAATTTTAGTTAAATAATTAATTTTATTTTAATCCATTAAAATCTTTAAAATTTTATCACTATTTATAATTTACAAAATAAAATATTAATAAATAAATAAAATATTAATAAATAAATAAAATATTTATAGTCAATTAAAATCATTATCTTCTTTTCCAGATTTTAAAAAATTCGCAATATGAAGGGTGAGTTTTAATATTTTTTATTCTCCATTAATAATTAAATAATAAAATTTGAATAAAATATTTCAAACGACATTATTTTAAAAATATCTACCATACAATTATAATAATTGTTAACAATAATTGTTAAAAATACACTAAACTGCTTATCGCAGATTACATAGAGTTCTTAACTTTCTAAGAATTCCAGAAGAATACTTATCGTTTATCAGCATAGCTCATGTTAGATTAATATAATTTTAATCGTACGTCTATCTGTAAATGAAGTTAATGGCTTTAACACATTTAAAAGCACAAAAAAGCTATAAAAATAAATTAATAATTGTAAAACTATGATGAAATGAAAATTTATAGTTGGTGTGAATCGAATTCTATAGTTTAAGCACATAATAGTATTTTTAAAATATTAAAAAAAAAGTTGACTAAAATCGAAATAAAATACCTGTACTTAATTGATTTAATGTAAACAAATCTTAATAAATAACATTTGATTTAAAAATGAAAATTGTTATCAGTGATACTCCATGTATATCTAATATGATTTCTTAATCGAAGATATGGCATAATTTGTATCGAACGATTGAGTGATTTGCAATATCAACCAAAGTACATGGTATAGCATCTAAACAATAATGTATTTAAATAGTTCACATAGAAATATTCAGTCCATTGAATGTACATTAATTTAATAGTTAATTTATTTTAAAATCAAAGGGGTGAATAACTCTCAGTAGTTATTTAAGAAAACCTGATGCATATATCTCAAAATTTTAATAACTTTTCTTTAGTGTTGTGTAAGTCCTTTATGTTTCATCTCAAGAACCTTATTGTTTAAAAATTATGTTTCCGTTTGCTTGCTTCCTATACAATAATTTATTTTTAGATATTAAAGATTGATTATGAAAAATGTCTAGAATAGACACTTTTCTTGACTTTCTGTACCTCTTTAATATTAAAAATGAATTCTACCTCCTATATCATATTTTTCATGTCTGAGATCCATTAATCAATTCAATGCCGCATAAGTCAGAAACATGCTGTATATTTGAGTATTTTATATATTGTATATATTGAGT